GCTCCTAATTTCAACTATTAGTCCACAAATCTCATATCTAAGCTAGATCTGGATCTGTTTTTTGAAGTCTGCCAGGGGGCTGCCAGAATATGGATTGATCAGACCAATTATGATAGATGTGGTCTATTTCATGATAACTGTCTAGCTACTGGAGTATATAAATTTATAAGTTGAAGAGTTGAAGCAGGAGATAAATTTAAATTTAAGCGATATAACTGTTCCACAGGAAAGGCTAATACTGTCATGTTTAGAAAAGAACTTGGCTCCCAGCTAAGATATGTGAAAAGCTTGTACATAGCACAACTGAAGAATCCTATTTAAAATATTCCTAAGCATCCATCACTATTATTTATTTTAAAATAATAGTCAAATTATACTAATAAAGATGCAAGTTACAGCTTTTAAAATCAAGCACTCAGTAATCAAAGAACTCCAATAGTTAAAATTGAAATCCGAAATCAATATGCTATATTTCTGTTTCCCTGTTAAATATAGATTTTCAAGTGTCCTGTTTAACTTGAGTTAAACATATAATATGTACGGCATGTACATATTAATGCAATGGAAAATTATTAATTTTTAGTCTGTCTCCAGGTATGAATGCTTAATTTCACAATGCTTGTGTTAAATTACTGACAGTTTGCAAAAAGAGGAAACACTGTGAGCATAGACACCTACTCTGCAAGGCACCTTCTACATTTTCATGTGATAGTCTCACAAGAAAATGACAGGAAGAAGATTTATAATCATATCTTTCAAAGTAGCTAGAGAAGTCTAGAATTTGCAAACACAGAATAATTATAATAATGGTTCACTGACTTCCTAAGAAGAGCTGTTGAGCTAGGACTTGCAGGGGTCAGTTCTCAATCCCAAATTACATTACTGAGCTAAAGGCCTTTGTGCAGAGTCTTGATCATATTGCAGATGGCAGCAAGAAAGGGGGCAGGCAGGTATATAAAATTTAAATATGTTGTAAAATTACTAAACAAAGATGAAAAGAAAAGACCAAAGTAAGGAAGAGCATGAAGCAGTATTAGAAAATCACAAGGGTAAAAAACTCAGAAAGGAAGGGTCACGGGTATATGTGCATGCCAGGATAAGGACACTAAACAGAATGCAGGGAACAGCATCACGAATGCTAGGAATGATCAAATCACTGCAAGTCATAAACATAAGATACTTATAGGTTTGTTGGTTTGCCTTTTTTCTCTAACAGAGAATACATCAGGGCTGTATTTCTGCCAAGACATTTTATACAAATCCCATTTCAATCCTGTCTGAACAGGGCTGTCTAAACTTCGATAAAGTGAAAGAAACATCAAAAGGTCAGCAGAGACATTTGCTTTGAAAGAATGCAGCTCCTATTGGAGAACTAGATTTGCAAGTCAGAGCCTTATCTGATTAAATTAATAAGCACATGACTACATTTTAGGGACTCAGGCTGAGTTTTTTTTCAGCTAGGATAGTGCTTAAAATTAGGCACCACCTTAAGTATCTTGTTGAACCAGGATCTATAAACTTGTTGGAGCGATGCCTTTTCCTGGGTACTTGGGAAGCAACAGAAGTGAAGTGCTCTTAATTCTGAAATTAATGCTTGGAAAAATAAATAAAAGCTTTTATTTTGGAGGGACTTGGTCATTTCCTATTTTAACCCTATTTAACTGTTTAATGAGTAGGATAGTATCAATTTTCTTTTTACAACTGAGATAATTTAGAGCAGCACTGATAATCTGAATATTAGGAAAAACTACATTTACAGCAGTTGGTGTCAAACTGAACCATTTTCCTGGGGCTCTGGGCAGAATTCAGAATATTGTTTTTATCTTTGAAGCTCCAAATTATTTAAGTTTATTTTATTTTTTTTCTGAAGCATTGCCTCTTTTGCCTTTCTCTGTGCTACAGCTGACACAAGCAGAAGTACACAGCATGAGCTTTTCAATTCAGGAAAAAGTCTGCTTATACATTTATTTACACAGCCTCCTTAGTGCAGCACTTCACTCTGGCACAACAAACCTCAATGACTGGTACATTCTGTCAAGCACCCACCTTTCTTCGGGTATTAGGAACAAAATTAAAGTGTGAGATCAGAAATTATGGTACTGTAATATTCAGCAGAAGAAACAGTCCTAGCAATTATGACAGTGATGAACAACGAAGAGAACTTGTGTCATTTTACTGAAGTTTACTGTGATTTTAAATTGTTTAAAAGCACCTAGGATTGGAAAGAGGTGAACATGTTTATAACTTTACAAAAAAAATAAAAAGAAGCAATAGTTCAAAACCAAAAGAAAATAGTTTTCTATTTCAAAATAATTTTACTCCGACCACAATATTTGATATTTAAGAACTTAGTGGATTTTCACTTATATTATTTTTCAAGGTGGTTTCAGTGGGAGAGGGTTTTACATGCCTCAATGATCCATTCAGGGATCAAAGCTGCAGAAGGTTTAATATTATCATGACAACTCTATCCCTGAATGTTGAAAACAACTCCAGATTACTCCCTCCCTTGTTTGTCATATTACTAAAATATCTGGACATTACTGCCAAGTTAGACATATTTAAATCTTCTGATTCCTCTTTCTAAACAAGTATCTCTATCTCTGGCAATCCACTTCTTGCCAGTTTTCTATAAATTTATTCCAAATTACCAGTATCTTTCCAGCAATGAGAGCATCCAATACTTTATTGTTTCACCAGCTTTAGTGAGCATGCCATGTAATTTCCTCTGTCTTTATGGAGGCCTGGATTTACTGTGGCCAGCTTTACTTCCAGAGGCGATTACAAGCACATTTATTTTTACTGTGCACTACATGCAGTGAGCATATAATCATCTTCTGGAACCATTCTGCTCTGGTCTGTCTCTTCCATTAGATATGAAGGTTTAACATCTTTGCCTTAGCTGTATTTGCACTTTTTTCCCCCTCTATGCTCATTTTCTCACATGCTCCAATTTTCCTAATCTCTTAAATCACCTTGGATTATTTCTGTTCTGCTCATGTTTGTTTAATGCATTGCATAATTTAATCTTTGAAACTTCAGATGGTACCAAATTTATTCACCTAGCAGTTGCAACCCAAATTAAGACAGAGCAAGAAGGAAGAAAATCTTTCCCCATATGAATAATTACTGTTTCTCTAAGAGAAGACATTTGCAAACAACAGGAGGAAGGCCAAGATCCAGTTTCTGCTTAGTAAATAAAAGGTGGGCATCTACTTCGTGGTCTTTTGCCTAGTCTTCTTCTAATGATCACTGAATAAATAATAGTGTATCACCCCCACCGTCTCCTGAAATCCTCCACATTCATTAAATCTCCCTTTTATTTCCATGTATCTTTCTGATATTTATATGCTTATCTATTTATTTTTCACTGGAAATGTTTTTTACCCCAAAACAAGCCCTGGCTGCAGGTAAAGATAACATGCTCAAAAGCAAAGATCTCAGTTAGGAAAGCTTCATGTACCCATCGCTAAAGTAGGACACATCTGCTCCATCACTCCAGGGAAACTGGATTTTTCTGGACTATCAGGTAGCTGATCACTCATCACTGGAAGTTAAAAATGAGTTCATATGCCTGGACTTGATCTGTCTTTTCAGTTCACTGGGAATTCAGTCAGGACAAACTGTCTCCTCCGGCACTGAGAAGAACAAGCAATGCCAAATTGTTACATCTGTGCTCCATATTCTGCTCCGGCCAGCAGATCACTTATGTGTTAATTCAGTGTTGTAGTGCTGGTGGAGAAGGGGAAAGGGCAATGTATTTTCTTTATTCTTGAAAGCTTCATGATTTGATCCAAATGACATGATTACATTTTGCAGGGTTGCTCCAGCTGCCTGTCCAGAGACAAAACTGCAAGAGGCAAGGCAAGTTGAAACAGCCCTTGATCACAAGCTGGAATTAGTACTGTTCCACAGAAATGTGAAACAAAATTTCACAAATTTTCTTAATTGATTACCTGCATATTCTGTGCATGTGCTCAAAATGTTATTTGACAAAAACTATGTGTTTTCAGGAATTGAGAAAATTTCTATGTTTCAGAGCTTCTAAATCATGAACACATTCTGCTGTAACTATTTCGGAATCCAAAGAATGGTCATCAACTGAATCCAAGCAAATGTCATCTACTTCACCCTAGATGGGATATTATTGCAAAATGCAGATATCCATGAAATATATTTGTAATCATTAACACTGAAGTCCTCTTTGGAACTAATTTTTCTGTGGAACTGAGCAGAGCTTTCTCTGCTTGAGTCTCCTCAAATGTTGTGGGTTGCTGGTGCTGAAAGCCTTGTTTAGTAGCATTTATTTTCACTATATCGAGGTATGTCTTATCTGAAAAGGACCCCCCAAAACATCAGTCAAATAAAGTCATCTGCCTTTCTAATATCTTTATTTAAAAATGTTTTAACATTTGTAAATACAACTGCATTCACCATTTTCCAATGAAATAAAAAAATACTGGGGTAGAGTGTCAGGGAACAGAAAGAAGTACGAAGATCAAAATTAGACTACCAAAAGAAACACCAGGTAGGAAACCTTTATAAGCATTTATACTGTCTTAGGAAAGAAATTTACAAGTAAACTGTCTTACAGGGAATAGAATTTTGCAATCCCCATAATCAAAAGTACTCTAATAAACCTTGTTGTCTGATTTAAAAACAACCCTGCTGCAACCAGAAGAGTTAAGGTTTTGAACGACACATATGAATGCAAAAAAGTGAAGCCGTAAGCCGAAAGGCGCAGCGGAAACACGGGCGGTGACCGGCGGCCGTGCAGCGAGCGCAGGCCGGAGCCATCCCGGCCGGAGCCATCACAGCAGGAGCGATCCCGGCCGGAGCCATCACGGCGGGCGCGCCCGGAGCTGGGGCGCAGCTGAGGCCGCCCGGGAGCCGCCCCTCGGCCCGGGCGGGGCTGGGGAGCTCTGCCATTGGCTGCCGCGCCTGTCCATCAGCGCGGGGGCGGGGCCAGCGCCAGGGGTTCGTCATCGCGGGGCGACGGCGCGGCCTCGGCCTGGCCCGGTGTCATGGCGGCGACGGTGGAGCCCAGCCCGCTCCCGCCCGTCACCCGCACTCCGGAGGTCGACCCTGCGGCCTCCGAGGTAGCCAGCAGCGCCCTGCGCTCTCTGGCTGGGCTGGCGGGGCAGGTGAGTGAGGGGCGGGTGAGGGACAGGTCCTGGGCGGAGCGGGGCTGGGCGCCGTGCCCGCCTCGCATCACTTCGGTTTGGGGTCCCGCGCAGGGCTGGCTCCTGCTTCTCCTCGGCTGTGGGGCCATTGTGGGCTCCAGGAATAGGATACGCCGCTGGAGAGGGCATAAGTCTGCCACAAACGAGGGAGCTGCCTCGCTTCTGGAGGCTGTTCGCGCCCGCCTGGCTTTTGCCATGGCTGGGGTGGCGGTGCCGGCTCCTTCCCCCTCTCCCTCCGGCCGGGGCAGCCCCAGGGTGCGGGGCTGCTGCTGCTGCTTGCCTCCCTCCCACAGCCGGGACCGTGCCTTTGCCTCGCAGTGACGGGACGTCGCGTGTGACTTTGTAGTTTGACGTATGATCTCTTCCATGCGAAAGTGCAATTTGCTTAATTGCTGTATCTTAATTAATTACTCTGAATTGAAAAGCTACGGGAAGCTTACAGTGCGTTAAATCAAAATAAATGATCAGGAGCTTGAAGTTAGCCCTGCCTTGGTAATAACATGCTATGAAACACACACTGTATATAAGGGTCAGAAATTTTAAAGGTGCTCTGCTCTATGGTACTTAAGTTGAAACAACTACATTATGTTTAGTAATGTCTGTGAATTGTGTAACAGATGTTACAGTGGGGGTGGAAGGTCCTTATCAGGAGAAGGTTTTAGGAATAACTTAATTATTGCTATAAATAATTTACAGATTAGTTTTCCACTGTGGAAACGTTTACGAGAAGGCAGTAGAAGCACTCTTACTTCAAGAGTTAGCAGTTTGAAGATTTGGGGCCAGGTGATGAGCAATATCTGCAGGAGCTAGTGTGTCTTAATGGATGTTTGGTACAGAAATGGGTTCTTAGATGCAGAGGCAGTTTAAGAGTAGCTGCTGGCTGATCTGAAATTATTATTTTAGTGTTTCACCTCTCGTCTGTATAGAACTCTTATGATATTTGCTTCTTGCCTCCAGATATGTTAACAATTATCTCTGTTTTCAAACAAAAGGCAACCAAAATTAAAGGCTTGATAATTCGGGCACTTACTTAGAATGTATTAGAATACATCAGAGAAAAGTTGGAACTCTTGTATTTATGAAAAACAGAAAGGAGACTAAGGGGAAACTTTCGTAAGATTTTAACTAGGGTATTCATCACGAGTTTAATTTAATTGCTTCTAAACCTACATTAAAAACTCTTATTTTTCTCTCTTGATTTCAGTTGCTTACTTTTTCTCCATATCTGGCTCTACAACTAGCAAGTCTCTGGAAAGGCCCTGGTGATTTTTAAAAATAACTGGGTGTGCACAGACAGTTGTGAGAGAACTGTTTAAAGTATCTACATCCCCTCAGTAGGGTTACAGTAGCTATGGTGCAGAGTATAATTATCTTCTTAGGTGTTTGGAGTGTCGTCTTCCCAGGCAGAGACATTTTACTCTCCAATGCCCTGCTTGTATAAGGATCTGGTTGCTCCATCTTAGTTGTTAAAGTCCTTTAATTGGTCAGTTGTGATTCTTTCCAGTTGCTAAGTTGCACACTTGTCTGCCTCAAAAAAACTCAGTGCTTGAGTTTTGACTGATTTAACTGCTGTGTTTTACCCCCTTATGGATTCTAGCAAACTGTCTTGCATTTTTGACTGAAACTACTAATTCCCCATTTCCCTTTTACAAAGATGACTGAGCAATGTGCCACATTATTAGCAGTCACAGTTTGTGATTCATTATAGTAGTTTAAGTTGGATTTTATACTAGTAAATTGGGCTGTAAGCAGGAATATTTCTGGTAGAGGAATTCTTTTACTGGAGCAATCAATGGCAGTATGTTACCAAGAGAACATCTGAGAATAACAACTCTTAAAACCAATATAGAGCTGATCCTGAAAAGTACTTTAAGATTCAAGTGATAGCCAGTGTTTTCATAAAACAAATTTCAAAGGGCTGAAATTACTTATGATCCTGTAAATTGAATAGGCCACAGCCTATTGTAATCAATCAAAGGCTTTGAAGTCACCAAAACAATGAATTTATGAATCTGTTTGTCACGGTTCTAATATGTAGTAGAATGTGAAAGACTGAGAACTTACTCTATTCTACTAGAAACTTGTTCATGCAGGAGGCATTTATTCTTTGCTTTTATTTAAAGGCAGTGAGTTAAAATATTACTGGCCTCTAAATTATTGTGAGAAGTTCTCTTGCTTTATGTGCATTGAAGCACCTGGACAGGAGTTATCCATTATGATATGAAGGCACATGTCAACTTATTTTTTAAAAAGGAGGCTTATTAGGAAATTACAGTAGCACTTCTGTTTCATTTGAATTACTTAATCTACACCTTTTTTACCCTGTCAGTAGACTGTAATATGGCATGTAGGAGATGTTACTCTAGAAACTTTGGGCAGAAATGTCCTTCAGATGACCACATGCACAGTGGCTTAATTAATTAAAGTAAGTTTTATTCCTACTAAATTCTAAATACATTCCTGATTTTGAAACTTACTCAAGATGTCCTAAAACAGTACTTTTCCTGTGTATGTAGCTTAAGTACTAAACAGGCATAACCATTTGTGTGAAAATTATCTAAAATACATTATATATCTAGTCAGTCTACTCTGCTATGTAATTTGGGAACTAACCCTGAATTTAGCAAGGCTGATCTTTGACTAAAGAAAGAAGGTTCAGGCTTATAGTTCTTTACAAAATTGTGTTAATGCTGGGATTTGAAACTAGCATGGAACAGCTTATCATCCACAGATTTGCCTTCATAGTGATGGAGGCATTCTTGTGTCCAGTTCTCAGTGTTCCCTCATACACTTTGTGGTGGCTTCAGGACATGAATGTATATGTATTCTGTGTTCTTGTTTATATTTGATGCTTTTAGAAGTTAAATGTCTTTAGACCATGAGTAAGAGGTCATCTTTGTCATCTTTCTGTTTCCACGCCTACTTTTTTTTTTTTTTTTTTAATGAAGGAGCGAGGAATATGCAGGGATTGACTGACATGGACTCTGTTGATGCCAGCAAAGACAAGCCAGTTTATTACATTGGTTTACTAATGTTTATAGGTCACTACGTTCATACAGAATTTTCCACTTGGACCTCTTTGTCCTGGTCCTCTTTAGAAACACAGTCTTCTGATTATCCTTCTTAAGCTAGTAATGTCCTCGTTCTCTCTTTCCTCAGACTGGTCAGTGTCAGAGTGACCAGACACGATGTCTTCTCTTCTTGCCTTGAGTTTCTCTCTCCCTCGGCTTTCACTGTGCCAGGGCCAAAAGGTCGGGCAGCACTACTCAGTTCAGCTTCTACAGCTGTCTGGTCTCTGACAGAATAGATGTACAAAGATGCACATGAATTGGGAAAATATGCATATGAATTGGGAATTTAATGTTGCAAGCAGAGTACCTGTAGGTCCTCTTGATTTCAAACAAGAATTTTATCTGTGTTTAGAATTTGTGGTATCACTTGCAGGATGCTTGGTTGGAGAACAACCTATTTAGCTTTGGAAAGTGATCATCTCTCTTAAGATCTTGAGAAGAGGTTTAGTGTAACAAAAAAGGTAAAGTTGGGTGTATAGAGTATGTTAGCTCATTACAGTTTATTGACAATCATCCTTGTATTAGAAAGTGTATTTTTAGCTTATAGAGGATATATAGTTCTTTTACATAATACTTCAAATTCATTATGTTTTTTTTAGTTGTCTTGGGATTTAAATATTGCAATTCCTTGGCAGTGAGCATAGACTGTTGCTATTGTTCATTTCAATATGTATGCATATACAGGAAAATAGTGTGATTTGAAAATAGGTTTAATAGTGGTGCTGTGTAATCTAGAGTTTGTTAAGCTTTGAGATATTAAAAAATATTTATTTTTATGCACTTATTTTTAATATAAAGCTTTCTTTGGGTTAGCAGCAAGTAAAAATTCAGGAATGTGCCATGGTGTTACATCAAGGTCATACAGGCAGAGGTAGTCCTGCAATCTTGGAAAAAAATACATGAACTTACAGGAGACTGCTACCCTGGCTCGTGTTTCTTCATAGTGCTGGTTCTAGTATCCATTAAAATAAATGATGGTATGAGTGATTGACATGCTTTCAATCAATTAATTAATTAAAGAACTGAATTAATGCAATGAAAGTGTGAAGAGTTAGTAAGGAATTTTTAATTTTAGAATATATTCTACAAATACTAGCTTACTTGGAATATGATAGCTGCTTGGGCTATAATTAATCTCAAATTTTTCCCATGTTCTAGTGTAAAATTGGGATGGATCTATATGAGATTGAGTATAATTGTTTTCTTGTAGAAGTCTTGTATACGTTTTTGATGTTAATACAGATAATATAATTTTTATTGTTTGTTTTGCCCTGTTGAAGCTTAATCTCGGAGAGGATATTGTGAAAGTTGTAATCGATTGGAACAAGCTTCAGAGCACATCAGCACTTCAGCCAGCCTTGCTCTTTAGTGCACTTCAGCAGCATATTTTATGTTTACAGGTAAATATTTCATGGGACACATTTGGCTTGACAAAAGTGATCAACAACTAAAAGTAATCTCAGCTGTAAAATTCCAGTAATTTTGATCTTACGTTGCTGTGTTCAAGAGAAAGGAATGCAATAGCGTTAAATGCTTGGGATTCCAGTATGCTCCATAGGTACTCACATTTACGGATTTCTCAGATTAGTGGTGGGAATAGCCACTGTAGGTGAGCAGGCTGAATAAATGCAGCCTCATTGATTTCTAGACTTGCATTGTAAATGTGATACATTTCCATCTATGGTGGGTTATAATTAAGCAATAAGACACGGCAGGTGTGTGTCATGCTATGATAATGATTCCATGCGTTGGGTGAGTTTTGAGGCTCATAGAGTGCTTTCAGTGGTTCAAGAAGTGGCATTATCCCAGCATGACACATCCTGGAGTGTCTTACTGCAATTAAATATATTTTCAGCGTAGGTTGTTTTTTTTTTTAAAGAGTAATTTCTTTGACATTAATGTCTCATCTTGCCAAGTAGCCAGTCACCATTACTGTCATTTCTTTTAACTATTTAAAACTTTCCAACCCTGCCAAAAGTAATTTAGTTGCATGGCAAGGAGGGCGAGATGTTTGTCAGCTGGTAACTGTGCAGTGTTTTACCTTGATAGCTCGTATGTACTGAGAGAATGAAAAGAGAAGTGTCTGTATTTTCTTGTCTGTAGGTAAAGGAAAGACCCTTTGTTTTCCAGACATCCACCACATCTTTGGTGTGATGAGCAGAAAGAGAAAATATGCAAGATAAAAGCAAATAAAATTTACAGTCAATGTGTAAGAATGCTGCAAGTAGGAATTTGATTCCATTTCAGAAAATGTGACTGCTAAAAATCATGTTGTCTTTAAAAAAAATGAAGATAATTTGTGGAGAGAAAATAAGCAGTGACATTCAGGCTAGATGAAACTGATGGAAATTAAAAAGAGACAAGGACATACGTATATGTATTGAAGTTTTGATGTTACATTGTACGTAAGGGTTATTGCAGTAAAATAAGCATTTTTCCTGCCACAAATGGCAGTGCCTTTTCTCATTTAATTTCACGACCTAAGTAGATAATCAACCGTGTCAAGCAAAGCATGTGTTCATGATAATGCCTATGTATTTCATGTCTGTGTTCTCATTCACTTGGGCAACTATGGTTTCAAGTGGAGAATGTAGTGCTGATGTGATAAAGTAAAGGCTTTACAGTGTAAGAGCACTGGATTTCTTGTTAAGGAGGAAAAATACTAAGCCTTACTGTTCTGAGTAAGCATTTGAATGACATGTTAATTAAGTGGCATTGATGCCAGCAATTGAAGCTTTGATTTAGGGAGTATGGGCAGGTTTTCACAGAAATTTGGGAGTTTTCCTCTACAAACCTCTAAAAGACACAGGTCAAAAAGGTCAGAATCGTGGTGTGCACAATATTTGGAACTTCTTTTTAATCTTATTACTGTGTTCCATCAGAGGAAGACGTTGTCATTCCCAAAATTATTTCCATTGGTCTGGTTTGGAAACTAATAGTACTTGTTTTCTTGGCTTTGAGACTTTTGGACTTTTATTTTTTTAACCCTAATACACTGTTTTCTTTGTTCAGCCTCTCTTAGAAAAACTCCAGTCATTGATCAAAGAGGAAAATATAGGCCATGTTGAACCTGCAGGTAAAACAGAAAGCCAAACAAGTTCAGAAATTTATGATGGTAATAGTCAGACTGAAGAAAAATATGGAAGTTATGACTCGAGAGATCTGAAGGATGCTCATTTTAATTTTGATCCAGAAGTGGTCCAAATAAAAGCTGGAAAAGCAGAAGTAAGTGATTTATGTGAGTTTAAAAACAGAAAAATGAAAGACCTTTTTAAATTTTAAATTTAAAGAATGACATAGATATATGCCATAATGTTTATTATCTGCAGATTGACAGGCGGATATCAGCCTTCATCGAGAGGAAACAAGCTGAGATCAATGAAAATAATGTCAGGGAATTTTGCAATGTTATTGATTGTAATCAAGGTAACTGGCTAGCCAGACTTTAATCTTCATAGCAATTTAAGTTGTGTGGGTTTTGTTATTGTTTGGTTTTTTGGTTTTTTTTTTTATTTTTATTTTTCAAAAGCACTAACCTATATTTCAAGCAGAACTTTTTTTAAGAGTAACTTTGTTTTAAAATTTAGAACTTGCTTGTGCACTGCAGATGTCAGATAGAAAAATAAATTGCGTAGTCACTGGATGACAATGTTTAATGCATCACATACAGAAAGATTATATCTAGTATTGTGCTAATTTTAAGAACTGCTGTCTTAGATCAGATGATTTTGTAGCTCTTGTTCCCAGTGTTTTAACTAGATGTTCTTCCAAAGTAAATGGAATTGCAATTCAGAAATGTCTTGTGAATTGCATATTCAAATTGAAGTTAATTTAATGCTAGGTAAATTACAAAGAAGTATTTTTTACAATTAATTTGAATTACTAACTACTTGAAATTACTTTTTCTTTTTAACATTGTTCATATTGCAGTACGATTGGCTGTATCTGTAACCAATCTTAAATCCATCTGGCAGACTGGATCCCATTTACAGAATCAGTAACTGTAGCCAAATGCATCTTGGAAGTTAAGACTTTAAAACTTCAAAGTTTATGTTTTTATATACATAAAACTACATAAGTAGTACAGAGATATTTTCTAAGTACCTGTGGACCTATATGTGCATTGTCTGTATGAGGTACTTAAGCTCTTAGAGATCAAAGTTTATTGTTCAGTAAGCTTCTTAGAGAGTTTAACTGTTTGAATGTTAGTTGGAGTGCAAACGACATCTGAAGTTTAGTAGAATATGCCAGATAGTGAAATACTGTTTCTCAAAACTGTAAATTATGTAGAGAATAATTGATAATTAGACCCGTCTCATTGTTCACGCATAATAAATTATGTGTAAAGCTTTGGTGTAATGAATAGAGATTAAAATAGAAACATTAGAAAAAAATTAAGGTAGTCCATACTGTAGCTTTTTATGGTTAAGCAAATGAAAGAAGTCACATGGATCAGAATAAATGCAGAAAGGCTTAGGAAAGAATGCTGATGCGTAAATTAGATAGTTGAAAAATAGGAGAAAAGGACATAAAATCAGAATAACAATGGTAAGCAGGAACAAGGCTTCTGTACAGGAAGAAGAAAATAAGTTACAGAGAAATGCAGGGAAAAGTAAGAACCAAATAGATTTGGTCCTGATCCAGTGAACTTTGATATACACAGGTGCATACATTTATATGAGTGACTATATATCCAGTTAAAAGCTGTAGGTCCATGCAAATGTGTGAAACTATTAATGGGCAAGTGTTTATAGAATGAATTAAGTATTTCTGATTTTTTTTAAATTGCTTGAAGCATTTTAATTAGATTTGTATAAAGCATCAAAGTTGATGGTGGTTAGAATATTTTCAGCTGTAAATACATAATTTGGACCTCACTTGATATATCATTATTTATTTAGAAAATAGCTGTGCCAGAACAGATGCAATTTTCACACCCTATCCTGGATTTAAAAGTCATATAAAGGGTAAGCAACTCTTTTAATACCCATTTGAGTGTCCAGATATAACAACACTGATAAGGTTTTGATATCAAAACTTCTTATAGGATGCTCAAAAATGCAAACTTAACGTATTTTTCGTCTTCCTTTATATCTTCAAGATTTTAAATCCCCTAACTGATTCACCAAATTAATGGTTAGGCACTAAAGACCAAAACATAATAGCCTATTTTCATTGTATGAAATGAAATGTGGAAAAGATAAAGCAGGACAGAGAAGCTGAGCAATACTTAGTTTTTTTTCTAAGGTGAAGCCATCAATAAGGAATTGACATTAAATAGGATTATCTTCTATTTTTCATTAGTTGGTGCAAGTGTACTGAAATGGAGTATAATTTTGGGACAGTGGAAACTCTAAGACATAGATTTATAAGAAGTGACAAGCTGAGGAATGAGTTTATCACTGCACTATTCTTTGGATAGAAATAAATAATATAGAAATGGATGTCCAACAGAAGTTGTGTATCAAATATTGCTTGTTCATCTCTGTTCTCTAGGTGTATGCAAGTTACCCTTCTTTAAAAATAAACAAAATACCCAATATGAGAATGATAGTAACCCATTTTTCAGAGTGGTAATATTCAGTTATCCACTTGATATGGGTCCTAGAAACCAATTAATTACTTTGAATTCTATAATTCAGAATAATATTGTGTGGCACAATAATAAGTATTGAAAGGTGTGGTGAGCTAAGGAGGAAATGTGGAAGTGAGTTTGATTTTAGAATCTTTCACAAAGAACCTCTTTCAATAATCACTGTTTTAAACTGAGTGTTAATTTGTTGGTTGGATGGCAGCATAATACAAGAGAAAAGGGAAGTTTGCATTTCGAGGAACAGTTCATAACTGAAATGTGAAAAACACTTAGAAAGGAATTGGAAGTAAAAGCGGCATAAAATAAAGCCAGCATGTGGCATGTGGCCTTCATGAAGAATTGAGTAGGATGGTGTACGTGTGTGTGCGCTGCAGCATCTGGAGCTGCCAGTAGTCTTTAAATCTGCAGTACACTGCAGTAGTTCTGTGAGAAGAACTTAAGAAATTACTCTGATTTAAATAGAAGTGAGCAAAATCTTCTGATGAAGACATGGTTCAGCATGGGTAAAATATAGTCCCAGATGCAGCTGAAGAGTCACTAAATATTTTACCCAAATGACAAAAATTAGAAGTGAAATTCCTTGCTGATACTTGTCTTGGTTCTTCTAGTTGTGTACCTCCCCTCATCTTCATGTATTTATGATGCTTCCTGTAATATTAGGCCTGGCCTCTTTTTTGCATTCACAAAAACTCACATGTACAACTGCTGACACAGATATTAAGGTTTCTGCTGTTTATCAGCAGCTGATGACAAATTCTTGACACTGCCATTCTACATGAATATATGAGTAATTCTTTTACTTTGCATATGTAAAACGCAGAGGTTTTGTTAGGTTTAGTTACTCATGCAAAAAAATAAGAAAATGCTTTTACTTGAACTTTTGATCTTAATGTGTGTGGGACTCTTCATATGCAAGACTTTAGTAAAACTGATTTAATGCAGGTTTTGCATATTTCAGTATTTTCATTCTTTTAATTAGATCTGCTTTGTGTTTCTTGTGCATATATGTGAAATTCATTTTCTCTTTACCTAGTTTCTAGGGTAGTAAATACATATGGACCTCAGACTAGATCTGAAGGAATGCATGGGTCCAGTCACAAAGCCAGTGTACCCATGCATGATTGTGGAAACCAAGCTGTTGAGGAGAGATTGCAAAACATTGAAGCCCACTTACGATTACAAACAGGTTTGTATGATGTTTCAATTTTTATATTGATGTGCAGTTTTATACTATAGTTATTATTACTGTGGTGAAACTGAGCAAGTCTATAAAAACTGATCCTGTAAAGAAAGTGGATAGATGCACTGAAGGGTTTAGTTCACCCCAAGTACAGTTGATCTAGTGTTTAGTGTTTTATGCCCAAAATGGAACCGAGCTTTATGCCCAATTTGAGATGCTGAGTTAGTAAATATACACTTTATGCGGTGGCAAATAAGAGGCACATCAGAACAGGATTTAAAATAATATGGACTATCTGGAGATTGGGGTTCTCCATAGCCACTGGAGTCCTGCCTTGACCCACTGAACAGGAAAAGCTGAGCTTAGAACTAAGGGCTGCTTCATGGACAGCTTGTGGGCTGGTGGCAGAATCAACGCAAAGGATGTCCTGAAACCTTTCCCTAAAGCTGAATGTATCTTGAAATACATTTAGATGTAAAGCTTATTTCCCAGAATGTGGGAAGCTTGTTGTCACTACTTATCTTTAGGCCTGCAAACATGAGTCCATACCTTTCACTAAAGTGCCATAACAATCAGGTTACTGATGTTTTTTAGGTAGTTGCTTTCCTCACCCCAGCCCTAGTTTTCAATAATATGGCACTGAGGCACAATGAGGCACTTGTCAAGGAGGAATTAGTATTTTTCTTGAACATTATTTTCAAAACAGAGCAAAAGCCCAATCTCCATCTAGTAAAGTGAATTTTCTACACGTGACACTGTGGACACGCATGATTTTTTTTGTCTTCTGAATACTGAATAGGTGCCAATCCATTATCTTAAAGATATTTGGAACATTGACTAGATTGCTAGATTCCTGTGACTGTGTAGTGGATTAAAGTTCTCTGGCAGCAAGAAGAGTAAGATGTGCATAGGTACTCGAGGTAGCAGTTAGAGCTTGATGTTTAGCTCTGTAGCTGTCTCAAAGATAAGCTGGGTTTTGTGCATAGAAATAGAATTTGGAAGTGTCTGGTCAGCATTAGGGTTACAGTGTGTAGCTTTGGAGTTCATGTGTATTGGAGACAATGATCGGAGGTAGCTAAGGAAGGGTCCTTGCTTCCAGGTTGTGCCTATAATAGGTGATCAAATTTTGTTTGAAGGAATGACGTCAGCTACCTGTTCCACCAGTTTTTGCTTCCAGCAATAGTAAGAGTTAATCTTTACTTGCTGGCTGTTTTTTAGAACAGCTTCTAGTGCTACTACTGCTCTTTTCCCTTTACATTAAGGGAAAGCAATATTAAGAGTCATAGGTTAGCCAATCTAATTAGTAGGTGCTGATTGTTGAGTAGAGAGCAGAACTGAAGAGTGAAGGTACCTGCATAATTGTTTCTTTGAAGGGACAAAATAGATGAATGGCAACAAAAACCCCCAAACCCCACATTGGTGCTTATTTTGGTTGTTTGTGGAATAGAACTGTATTGTCTAACAGACCCAGAAATAAAAGGAAATGAGTGTTAAAAAGTAAAAGCTTGCTATGGCCTTGGTTGTCAATACAGTTCAGAACCAAACTATCATTTTAATTGGAATAGCCAGTACTTAGTTGTGATAAACAGTTATTTCATATAGTTTTTTAATTATAGAATACTGTGGAGTGCAAATAAGATGCTTGCTAAGGCTGATCTTTTGATCAGTTCTATTTTTACATGGGGAACGAGCCCAAGATGCTGTAGTATAGATGAAAACAGCAAATGGGTTGAGGTGGAATTTTTTTGGTGCTATTGTTTTTCTGGTGTGAGTGGGTTTTGTTGTGGGTTTTTTTGTCAGGGTGGTTCTTCAGTGAGCTTGGGACTTTTTTGGTTGTTTGGTCATTGTTTGGTTTGGGGTTTTTTTCAGACCACTGTTACTCAATTCAATACGCACATTCCCCACTCCTGTTCCCCCATCTATGCAAACACTGTTCTTTGTCAAGCACAATTCATACTTGTCCTCTAACCTCTGATGCTTAGTGGAGATTATTCTGAAAGCAATCTATCTTAGATATCAAAGTTGAATTCATGTGTGGTCTGCCATCCCATCTGCTCTCTCCTAATGCTGGTGTCAGCTTTGAAGTGGCAACATATCATGTATGACCAGTGTATTATAAGAATGATCATTAGTTGTTTCAGGGACCTTGACAGACATAATTCAGCCAACTACATGGAGTTGTCCTACTGCTTTCATTGGCTGCAGTGGCTTATTAATCAGGTTTTACCCTGAATCATATTAGTTGTCCTTCCTTTATTAATTATCCTTCCTTTACTATCCATTTATTTTGTTCAGCTACTGGTTGATAGCTAATCTTGAAGAATTCAAATGTCAAACTTACTGTCTTTAGTTAAATAAGTTATTCAAGCACTTTTCCTGATTTCTTTGCATTACTACTGTATTTAGGTGGTCCAGTACCAAGAGACATTTATCAGAGAATTAAGAAGCTTGAAGATAAGATTCTTGAGCTGGAAGGACTGTCTCCTGAATATTTTCAATCTGTAGTAAGAAATTTTCTCACCTTCTTTCATCATATCTAAATGTGTTTGTGCCTTTTGTGGTTGAATCTTTGATGTACAGAGAAAAACTTCGTTGCAGGGTGGACAGTTTTAATAAACAACTCTGGCTTGGTGCAGTGGTTTTATTACATGTGGACCATCTAATCAAGTTCATCTTTACCTAATTTCTCAGTCAAAAGAAGAAAGTATCTGTTGGGGGAAAAAAAATTGCTGCCACCCAAGCTTAATTAATCTGTAAGAAAAGTGTCAGAGGGGTTGTATTTCTCCCCCTTTGCCTTAAAATCTGAAGTGCTTCTTCTGTCAAGAAAATTGACCGAAGTTTTGATTTTTGATACAAATAATTAATGGCTTAAAACAGCTGAAATCATTTGGGCTTCTGAACATGATCTGATTGCTAACGATATGTGAATAACTTCCAAATGGATGAGAAAATAAACTGTTTAAAAATTGATTCATGTGATTCTGTGACTTAGTTTTCTTTATTTCTGGTTTTCAGGCAGAGTTCTAGCTCTCTCTGAATAGTACACTTTAACCTTCACTCACCAAAGGGTATTAGAACAAAGAGAACATGAGTTGTTGCTGCATTAGGCTCATATTTGACTGTAGAAATTTCTTGTCTGTTACCTTGTTCTTCTTTCCCCATGTGACAATAAGAATATCTCTTTTACTGTTGATTCCATTTTAATTTATATCTTCTCCCTTGAGACCAGCCAAAGAAGTCATTTAATAAAAATCAATAGCAACCGTACACATTTTTGTTTAATTTTTAGAATTTGTGTTGGAGACCAATAAAGTTCTTTATTTGTGAGGCCATGCCTTCAAGTGGCTGAAAACCAGAAGTTAAATCATACACTTTCATACGCTGAAATTTCTATTGAAAATGCTTTAGGATCTCTAGAATGAGGATCAGGGAAAAAATGTGATGGTGGCAATAGTAGTGTTGCACAGTAATTAGCACATTTTAGCCAAAGATTTGCATAAATATTGGTGTGGATATGGGCAAATTTTAGGGACAAAAATATTGACGGTTTCAAAAGCTCAATTCTGTCTGAAGGAAGCTTCAGTTAAATTGATAGTTGTTGACTGCCATGTGTGGAGAAGCTTCAACAGCTTCTGACTGCTCTCCAGTAGTATTTCTCATGATCCAAAGTACTTAATTATAAAAAAAAGGTTTCTTTAATCCATGGAATGGCAGTCAGTTTCTATTCTATAATTTAAAGACTCTTGACAATGTTGTTACAGAATTATTTGTGGTCTTCTGTCAGTGCAATATTAAGTCTGTTTTGATTGTCTTTTCTTCAGAGCTGTTCTGGCAAGAGGAGAAAGGTTCAGTCTCCCCATGTAAGTGCCATTAACTTCTGTTTTTCTTAAGTTCAGGATGTTTTGAGTGGAAGAAGTAGCTGTATCATTATTGGGTAGCTTGCTGCCAAAGAGAGAGGGGAGGAGAGAGAAAGCTAATGGCTGTTACAAGGAAATGAGTCTTCTAAGAATATATACTAGGATTTTTACCAGTTAGGAGGATGGTAGAATAAAACAAATCTATTATGCTGTTAGTCAAGCTGATAGCAGCAGGCAATTTCTGTACTCTGATTTGCCCTCTATTAATTCTGGTTTTGGTCTTCTGGTTTTGTGTTGTGGCTTAGTGGTTTTTGTTGATTTAAAAGTTATTTTTCAATTTGTTTTATTGCTTTATGAAAAGACAAAAGTAGAAATGGCTGGCTTGGCAAAGATGTTGCAGAAGGACCCAACAGTACAGCAGATATATTAACCTGTCAGTAAGACCTGCCATTTTCACAGCACCATCACATAAGGGAATGCATTTACCCTGTACCTCTTAGGCCTCAAGAGAGAAGTTACCATTGGTGCAGGTGGGACCGTGGCTGGAACCTTGTCTGCTCCTAACTATCAGCCTTGGAGACAGATGGACTAGGGAGAATGCTTGGAATGGGATATGGGCCATCTGAGGCTTGAGAAAGTAGGCTTGTTTAGGAAAAAAAAACAACTCCTGCATAGGGTGAAATATCTTTATAAAAAGGATGATGGCTAGCTTGTGTAAGAAGACATAAAAAATTGTCAGGTTAAATGGCACAGAGGAGCTTGATGTTGGGCAATAGGAAAAACCTTTCGCTGTAAACCCAAGTTCTGCAAAATCTAGGTAGACTCATCCAGTGTTTTAATATGAAGGAATTTCTTAGTTTTTTTAATGAGCAGACTAAACAAGCATTTAATTGAAGTAGCATAAATATATTGATCCATGATTAGGACTGTCTTTCTTGCAAGTTTGCATTCTTTTTCCTTTAAACTTAAATAGGCAAAGACTAGATTCAGACAATTCTGCAGTAGTTCTATCACTTAGTGCAATATGCAGAGACTTCAAGTATCAAGTGATAAGCCACTTCTCTAGCAATTATAAGATGTAAATTATTGTGATTTTTATTTTGTTCTTTTAGCAGAGCTATTCACTGGCTGAACTTGATGAAAAGATCAATGCTATAAAACAGGCATTACTGAGGAAAACAAAAGAAAGCAAGTTCAAGGAGGCTGAGCAGCTTCTTCGATAAAAGTGTTTTCAGAATCCTCGTCATGATTTACACATACCTGAACCATAGACCTGAGTAGTGTTCATCAGAGATGACTAGCAATGAAGACAAAGCATGCATATATGCTTCTTTTGGATGATCTTGAAAGCTTTCTTTCAGAGTAACTTGTTTAAAAGCAGCCTTATTAATGAAATAGTTACTTTTAAATGAAGAATGTTTCAGGAATGTCATTCTGATAATCCGTACCCTTCTGTTATAAAGGAGGACTGCAGCATTGTTTGTATGTGAAAAGTCTTAACCTGCACTCAAAAGCTACATCTCACGTGTAAGTCTTGGTGACTAAGTATTCAAAAGAACTATCTTTTGGATACTGTTTGCACAGACTTGTGAAATTAAATTGAATACTTCCTCAAAAATAAACTGACTTTGGGAAAAAATTGCCATAGTCTTGCAGAATGTATGCTTACCTGTGGGTTTTTTCTGTATTTGTCACTGTTTTCACAGCTGTTAGAAATGCAGAAAACTGCATTTCTGTGTGACAGAAATGTTTATGGAAATCTTATATGTGTAAATAAAAACAACTGTTCTTCACTTCTTCAGTATCTTGTGGGAATTCAAATTTCATAACCTGTTCACAAGCAATGTATTCCAAAAACCTTCCCAGAGGAGATTTTGAGAAGCATGCCAGCAAGGCACCAACTTCCCTTCCATATGCATGCTTACATGACTTTTGAAGCATGGATGCTAGCTTAGAGTCTGACCTTTCACCAGACAGTGAAGTGAGATTGTGTTGTGACTTATAATTTGGTTTTGTTTGCTTGTTTTTTAATAAACCATTTTCTATTTATGTAAGTTCTTGTATTTGCTGTCTATCATTATTTCAGTTTTGAAGAAAAGTAGCTGTGACCGAGAGAGTTTTATGTAAACTGCTCTGCTTACAGCAGTCATATTGTTGATGTCCCTGTATCAGTCTCTGTGACAGGTGTTATGAACAGTACTGACTTGGCACAGCCTTTGAAGAATAGTAGGTGTTTTCTGTGACCTTGTCTTCTTACCCAGAATAACATTTGTTATAGCAGCTGCAGCTAATGTTTCTCTGGAGGTGTACCAGCAGCAATGGGTGAGAAAGCTGCTTGAGCTCTTGTACTGGCTCCAGCAAGGATGACAGTATGATAGTAACCTGTAAGCTGCTGCTTGTCCTTCCAGGAGGAGATCTGAGTGCCTCAGATACAGCAGTGGATATGAAGAGGTACTTTTGCAGTTCAGGATTGTCGTGTGTGTTACGTGTCAATACAGTATCCTATAGAGACAACTTTTGTTGAAGTGAATATGAAGCCTTGCCATTATTGAACATCCTAACAATGTTTTATGAGGGATGTTTTGGTGAAGTAGCACAGTGAGCTGCAACTTTCTTACTTCAAGTAGATAAGCTTTACTTCTTTTTTGGTCCTCTGGCCCAGGAGCCAGAGCTCGAAAGAGCACAATGTGGGTATAGTTGCCACACCACACAATTCACACAGTACTTGAAAGAGTGGTAGGAAGTGGCTGTTACAGGGCCAGGAGGAATGGCTGAAGGGATTTACCTTTTATAAAGCAGTAGCCTCCACTTGTATATTGTAATATAAGTACTGGTAGCACATGGTGGCTAAGTCTACTGCATTTGCAGTAGAGGAACTTTTGCAGTATGTAATTTTCTTTGGAAAATTCTGGATTGAAGCCCTAGAAAAAACTACTTGGCAGGTCCTAGGCCTGAAATATTTGTCTAGTATTAAAATTCTGTGTTTGTTTACATAAGAACAAGTGCATATGTGTATATACATAGGAAAAAAAAGTCTGCAGTACTCCTGAGGGGTCAGTTCTTGAAATGAATTGCAAACTGCTGATTTCCTCAAGAGATACTGGTTACAAAGACTGCATTAGCTGTTTCAAAGTGGCTTTTTCTGTAATGAATTGCTGGCTACTTGAAAGATCTCTTACTTTGGAACTCTCCACTTTGTTAAGATGGCAGTAAGGTAGCAGTTAAGGGTTAAAAGCATAGTGAATAGCTAAGGAAACAACACTGCATGTCTTCTGAATGGTAATTTATCAACCCTATATAATTTATCAAATATATGTGGCAGACAAACTTGATAAATGTCATCTGGCGTTCATCTTGCTTTGTTCCTAATCTTTTGCCATTCTTTGGTTTCAAGTTCTTACTTTATTGAATGTTTAATGCCAATGCGCCTGTACTGTAAAAATTCAGGACTGCTCTGAGCTGAATGTTAAACATACTTGCATATTTCAGACGTCTGCCAAACTGTTGGAAGTTTCCCTTCCTCTGCTGTATGACTTTATGTGAAGAGATATAGAGGAACAGGATGCTCTTCTGTGGTTCAGTGCTACTGGTCTTAGCAGTTCATCCTTCCTTGTGTTTTGTCTCCTTGGGTTTTATCTTCTACAACTAATTTCCACTGTCAGGACTGCTTCTGCAGAAAGATGAGCTCTCACCACAGCCCCATAATAAAGTGAATGCAGGTTTGAACTCTTACACCATCCTTTTTCCAGAACTGTAAATTCTGCTGTTCTTCCTCTGCAACTGAAACACTCCAGTGCTTGGTGATAAGTGCAGCTGCAGAAGTTGTAGCCTGAGAGGTAACCAAAGATTAAGCAAAAGCAAAAGAAGTGCTTACTGTCCTGCTGATGTGTCTCAGCACCTAGAGTACTGACTGAGAGAGTAGGGGTGGGCAGTGATGCTGAGAAATCCTCTCAAATGTCTACATGTTGACGGTGAGACAGACTTTAAATAAACAACAAGCCTGTGAGCCTAAATCAATGAAGAATCTGCTCTCTGCTTATTATTTTAATGGCAGTGGAGTTGCTCACAGACTGAGATACCATCCTACATGAAAACCAGAAGAAAAGTTTCTCAAATCACTTGCAAATTAAAGAGTTCTGGACTGACAGGCAGAGACAATGCCTGTTGCTGTACAATAGGTGTTCCTGCCGTGATGCACACAAGTAGAGGTGTCTCTACAAAAGCACTTGTGTTTTGTCACGGGCAAACTCCAGAGAAATAGACTGGTAGAGTCACACCCTTCCATCCCTGAGAGAAATGCAGTAGATGGAAGCTTAGCAAGAGTCAGAGGAACCCTGAACCTCTTGCCATCAGGCAGAAGGAAGGGACATAAAAGACAGGAGGGATTGGAAAGAGGTCTCTGTTTGGAAGGCAGGAGAATGCCCTACCAGCCTCTTACACCTTTCTCAGGTGCACTTGTGGAATTGGTATGAGTCTCTGGAACTCAATAGTTAAGCAAATGCTAGTGAAGGTGAAGGTCTACCCAGGCGTTTGCACAGAGCAAGTCAGTCAACCAGACACATTGCAACTAGAGGTTTTAAGAAAGAAAGAAGGGTAATTATTGTAGTTATTTCCTTCTCAGGGAAACTGAGGGCCCTGTATGCTCGCTGGATCCATCCCAAAGTCTGCTGCCTCCCTGGGGTTCAGGTGAGAGATGTTACTAGGAGATTAATATCTGATTATTACCCACTTCTGACTGACTGGGTGGCCAGTGATGAGGCAGAGGACAGAAGTTCTAGGACTTTGGGATGCTAAGATAACTGGTTGAAGGGATGGGAGCACAGGTGGTGTTTTCCTCAATCCCTTCAGTAACAGGGAAGAATGATCAAAGTGAGCTGTTACCTTTCCAGTTTTCACTGTTAATGATTTAATGGCACCCTTATACTCTTCCTGAGTTGACTACCCCTTTTTCCAAAGGGTATAAACACTTGTTTTTCCCCTGAGTTCCAGCAAAAGCTCCCTTTTCAGCCAGTCTGGTAGTCTTCCCTGCTGGCTTGCCTGTGAGCACGTAGGTACAGCCTGCTCCTACACCTTTCAGATTTCCTTCTTAAAGTATGTCAGCCTTTAAGCCATATGTTGATCAGGTGGGTTCTCCTGTTCCTTTTATCATTCTTCCCTATTGCCACCCAGATTTGGGTTACTTAATATTAATTCTGTGTAGAAGGTGTTCCCATTTGGGAAATCTTGCACTGAACATAACTGCAATCAATTGCAGAATGATATACCACGAGGTTCAGATGAAATTCTGTGAACCTTTCCCTCACATGTCCAATTAAAATTCCAAGTAATTAGGAATCTCATTGCTTAATTAACTTAACCAGAACACAATTATCATTGTTCTAGTGTATAGCTATTCCACGCTATCAAAAACTGCAACCTTACTGTGCTGTAAACTCACTGGAAAAGAGAGATTGACCATCGTATGTATGTCCTGCTGGAGAGAGATTACAAAGCATTCCAGGTTGCCAAGGCACTTATCTGAGCTGCATCTCTACTGCCCTGGTGTTTGCAAGGAGCATGGTTTGAAGAAAATGCTAAAAATCCCTGTAGTCAACCAAGAACTGAAAGGATAGCTTTTTTCCAGTGTAAGAACTCAAGACAGACTTTTATCCCATCTTCAATATAAAAATTTCACATATAAAATTCTGTCTCCTCATTTATACTTACCTGAAAGCTGATCTTTCCATGTTCTGTCAGAGTTCAATAGCCTCTGTTTCACACTGCACCTTAGTTATTAAGGGCTTCCAGTTACAAGATTAAAAGGATAATTGTACAACACTGTAAATTTGGCATTAATTATTCGAGGAAAATGTCTAAGAGCATCACTATTATGCCAAGAACATTTGTCTCACATTGCTGTTTAGCACCTTGTGTGAGAGATGTAGTAAAACATTGGATCTTGTGTTACTGTGCAGTTCTGCAATGTGTGCATGATCCGTTTCCTTGCTTCAGGCTCCCCTGAGTAGGGAGTGATTCATCTCTAGGAGGCTAATTTCTTACAGTTGAGTGCAGGATTTTAATAAATAAACCCAAAAGTGAAGTGCCCTTTTGAACAGCCCTCATATCAGCAGGTAATATCAGTAATTTAGAAAACTCAAACCATTCACCATTCTATCCAATGTATTGTGATCAGTCCTGGATTATTTATTTATTTATTTAACACATCACAATTCATCTCTTTTGTTTTAATTAAGACCTTACAACAATACTGAGAAATTTTAACCCCAGAATGCTGAAAATTAATTTTTTTAAAGAGTGAGTAGTCAAAATACTGAATAAAAGTAAATTTTTGATTGATCAGTTTACAAATAATTTGCACCAGTGAGAATAAACACAGCATTTTCTACAGTAGCAGTTGCTGTAGCAGTAGCCATCCTCTCCTCAATGAAAATCTGTAGAAAGGGCTTTGAAGGGGTAATAAAAAGTCTCCAGAAAGATTCCCTTACAGGTACCTTTTCCCTTGCACCATAGAAGTGAGAGTTTTCCATAACCCTTCTGTTGAACAGTTGTCAAATGCTCCAGGCTCCTGTAGCTGTAGGGCTCTCCCTTCAGCCATGCTCTCCCAAGAACCCACACAATCCTGAAACTGTCCCCAGCCCTGCTGGTCCCTCAGGATCCAGGCAACTGTCCAGAGGGACCGGGCTACACATGGCCTTTGCTGCCAGCACTGCACTAGCCCAGATAAGGTGCTCCTGTGGTCAGCAAGAGGGTTTGATGATGTGTCAGATTCCACCCAAAAGCAGTGAGACCCAACCCAACGGGTCTCCAGGAGACAAGTTTTCTTGACATTTCTTCCTAGGATATATGAATTTTGAATTTAACTTCTTCTGACTTTAAATCTGATGGGGAAGAGGTGGGAGAATATACTGTAGAAAATCTAATGATTGAGAAATAGGAAAAAAGAAAGAACAACTTAAAACAACTACTTCTGTAGATCTAATGAAACTGCCTTGTCATGGACAAAACACTTAAAAATAACAATGAAAAGAATAGGCATTGTTTGAAGGTATT